GTAGAGAGAGAGAGAGTAGGATGGAGAATGTTTACAAAAACCCTGCAAGAGTCTTTACTGAATGTAGACAGAAGGCAAAGCTCAAATTTTCACGACGGACCAGGAATCTGTGATAAGCAGAGCTATGAAGGTATCTTGAAGGGAGAAGGTCAAAGTTTGAAAGGACCTCAAGCCATAGTATTCAGTGACACTAGAAGTCAAAGATTGCTCTTAGATGTAGCGGAAGGAGAATGGGAGAAGAATTTGATTCTGACTTCAGCCAAAAGAGTCCAAAGATTGGGAGAATATCGTAGGGGTGGTGGTGAAGAGATTTAACATAAAAGGTACTGTTAACATAGACCTTTTGATTACTCAAAGGCTGGGCAATATGGAGCTGGAGTAGTGTTCCCAAGTGCTAAGATGGTGGAAACACCATATGGAAGGGTAACGGTAGAGAACTGGTTTGTGTCTTGTAATCAAAATAATATCTCAGAAAGGCTTCTCGAGCTTTAGTTCGTAGGGCTTCTCTTCAACTATTGGAATGAGGAAACTCTGGTAAAACTGATCCAAGTCATGGGTGGATTGTTGACAACTTTTAATCTCCATGACCTCCATGCCACAAAAGCAAGGGTTGAAGGTCTGGATCCCGAAGAAGTCCCCAGATGCTTAGAGTTGCTCATTAATGGTTGCTGGCTTAAGGTTTGGGTTTTGTTGGAAGGTGAAACGTCTCTATGGAGGAAAGGTTCTAAGGAAGAAGATGTCGACATCCTTGAATAATATTAGTTCAATTTTTTTGGAAAGTGGAGATTGAAGGGTAGGTGAAAAGTCTTACGTGGAGGTCATTATGGGTCCAAAGCTTTTTAAATCAGAGGAGACCCGAACCAAGTCAATTTTCCAAGGGTGAATCGGACTTGTTTCTTGGATGAGTTAGTAGTTATTTGACTCAAAAATGAGGGGAGGCCTCCGATGGGATCACAAAGGGGAGATAGTTCCTATCTCGGGGAGTGCGGTTGCAGAAGTGTATCCACAAGGGTCAGAGGATGATGCCAAGATTGGTGCTACAAATCAGCCTACGATTCTTACAGTTAAGAATTACAGCCTGGAATCTCCGTCTGGTACTCAAGATGTGAAGAAAGATAAGCAAAATGGCAGGATGGAATTTCAGTCTAGGAATAGAAAGGAAAACATGAGGAAGTTTCTAAGGCCCAAAAAATCAAACTTGAAAAGAAAGGAAGGGTTAAGGACTCTCTTGTCTAAGATTAGAAAAGGAGAGGAAAAGAGGTGGGTCTGGGTGATTGCCAGGTTCGACAAGTGTGGCAAGAAAAGGTTGGTTGTTGACACAGGAGAGACTCTCATCGACTGTCCTCATTCATTAGTGTCTGGAGATACCGGACGTTAATCTCAGGTCAAGAAGGGGTTTGATGAGATTTGTGCCCCCTCTGAGTCTGAGTCTTTGCGTTTGACGCCCTCAGAGGATAGATGTGGCTTGGAGTGTCTAGTTTCTCCATGTTTGGAAGAGACAATTCCTGCTGAAACGGAGAAATTGGATGGGGGGAGACGACGGTTAGGAAAAAGAATGCTAGTATCGGTGCTGAGCCAGGAAACGAAGACAATGATAGGGGTAAAGCTGGAGGAAAGAAAGACTTAACGATGATGACTCTTCTGGTTGACAGGTTGGATGTCAGGTCAAAGATGGCTTGTTTTATGAGGAGGTTGAGATTGGTAGGCTAGGTGTAGATCTGGGCTGAGGGAGCAAAATGGAAGAGAAGGAAGATCAGGGTGATGGGATAATCAACAAAAAATCGCACAATGTAAGGGCTCACAATATAGTTTATGTGACAAAGATTTTCTCTAGACCTACTCATCAAAAAAAAAAAAAAAAATCTCTAGACTTAAACTCAGTTTGGCAGGGGCAGGATCTGTAAAAAAATATAAATGGGTGTACAGAAGGAAAAGGGTGAGGGTTTAACGGGGCAATTGGTACCGATCATAGGGGGGTAGCTGTGCAAGAGCAACCACAGACCCCCCTTTCGTTGAAGAAACAACAGGTAAATAAGGTAATTGATGCCAAATCTGAGTCTGGTGCAACATGGCTACTACAAGAGAATGAAGTTGCTGATGAAGTTTCAGGTGAGGTGACTACCTGAAAATTGGTTGATAGGGAGGTCACAATTGGGAAAAGCTTGAGTTTATTTTTCCGGGGTGGTGAGGAATGTTCTAGGTGGGCTTTTGAAAAATTTGAAAGAAAAAAAAAGAGGAATAGAAAATGAAGACCAAAGCGCACTTAAAAGGGGGCAAGGATTGGGATGAGAAATTCTCAAATCAAGAGGATGTGTTTACAGATGAAGACTGACATGGGCAGATAGAAAGGTTTAGCATTTGTTTAGAGTTGGGCGGTGGTACTGTCTTAATGGGCTTTTGTATTGGGTGATCTTTTTGTTGGTGTCTGTTTTGGGTTTTATTTTTTGCTTGTGAGGTGTTTATATTCTTAGGTTTGTTTGGATTTCCTGGGGGTGCTTCTTGCTCTAGGTGATTTCTTATCACCTTCTGTTGTAATTTTCCTTTTTTCTCTAAAAAATTTTCCTTTTGTTCTTCAGAAAAAAAGGAGTTTGTGGTGCTCTCCCTACCAATAAATTCAGAAGGGTTTATTTTAGTAAGAAAGTTAAAGATAGATTAAGGGATGTCAAGCATGGTCAAGGAGTTGGGTAGATAGATTTTAAGCTTGTCGATGAGGGTCAAGTAGATTCTGCTTCTCAATTTGACAAAGTGGAGTCGGTGTAAGAAGGTTTTGATGCTGGAGGGGGTTTAAAAGATCTTTTAAGCAATGTTCAGAGAACTGAACTGGGCATAGAACCGCAAAAGGGTTGAGCCAGAGGTTGAACCATTATGATGTGGCATATATGTATATTTACTACGGGTTATATAAACACTATATATAATATATTTTACCACTTTTGTTATACTTAAAAATGGTGGATGGACGGTAAGTTTCTTAATTTTTAAAGTAAATGACGGCATGACTAGGCTTCATGTCTCTTAATTTACATTTTCTTTACAATACGTGTAATAAAGTAATATATACAATAAAAAGTCATTAATTAACATAAGTAAAGAGATGGACTAGTGGTAATTAAGCAATATATGAAACTAAGAGGCCATGGGTTCAAGACTTCAAGTCTTGTCACACACATTTTAAAATTTCAATTATTTAATGATCCAGGCCGTTTTATGAAACAGAGACTGGTTCACCGGTTTTCCGGTTAAACTGGCCGGTCAATCAGTTTTCATTGGGTTTTTAGCAATTATGGTTCTTGGGGTGTAGCCAAACTGGCCAGGGCCCCCAGTCACGATTCAACCAGTCTGGTTTGGTTTCCTAAACACTGCTTTTAAGTCAGGCATTGGGAATCAGAAAATACAGATCAAAACCTTTAGAAGAAACAGATAAAAGAGGTGAGGAGATCTTGACTTATTCCTTTAAAGATAATGAGGTGATCATGGAGTCCAAAGAGCTAAGGAGTTGAATATAAGAAAACTCATCATTGAAGGGGACTCGGAGGTGGTGGTAGGGTGGCTGAATAAAGAAAATAGCAGGTTATGGATGTACAGTAATGAGAGGAGAAAATTTAGGTGGCTGGTTCAAGAGATGGAAATTAAGTTCAGCTGGGTGAAAAGATCAGCTAACTCTTTTGCTGATGGGTTAGCTACGCAAGGAGTCGAGAGGGAGTTAATGTTTTGGGCACAAGTTTAATTTTTTCCTATTTCTGTTCTTGGGAGCTCTAGCTCCAGCTGGAAGATAAGAGAGTTTATCTTCCTCCTTGTAATTATTTTTGTGATTAATTAATGAAATGTGGTTATTGATCATAAAAAAAAAAGAGGTGATCATGGATGTTATTCATGCTGTGCAGAGTGAGCTAGACTTGGAAGAGATGGTTAACATGGAAGTTAAGGTTAACAAACTATTGGCGATTTCTTTTATCAGGGGTGAGGAATTTGCTAGGACGGTTTTTAGAGAACTTGAAGAAAATGAGCCAACACTAGAAGAAAGAAGCATCTACAGGAGGGGCTGTTTGTTCTTGATTTCAATGTCGTTATCAAAATTTTGCTTCTTTTCTTGGAGGTTTGAGGATTTTTTTGTTGCAAGTGTGTTTGTTGGGTATGTTTGAATTTGCTTGTGGGGGTGATTTCTTATTACTCCTTGTAATTCTTCCCATCTTATTCTTAACGAATTTTCCTTTTTATTTATCTTCAGAAAAAAGTTGTTACAGACACAATATAAGGGAAATAATAAGTATTGCAAGAGAGATGAGAGCCTGATTCATATGACACAGGGATCAGCTAATGGAGTAAACAGTGGTCAAATGTAGTGGAGAACCATCTAAAAGGATAAGCACCCATTGATGTAAACAATGAGAAAGCTATGTAGAGGTAGCTACACATAGTCACTAAACAGTAAACACATTGTATAAAGTTCTCTTTATCATAAATTAATAAAATTTCTTGATAGTTGTCCATCAAAATTAATATGCTGCCTTTGTTACCAAGTAACCCTTTATACAAAAATGACATATACATTAGCTATTCATTATTTTAAATAAGCTAGGGGATAAAAAGGAAATGCTATTTAGAAGTGTCCTCAAGAATCTATGGAGTGTTAGATTCTGATTGTGTTTGACACAGACGCATCTTCAATTTTGGAGGTTCCATGCAACACTGAGATTGACTCAAATCTCTGGTTGGATTATAAATCTACATGTAGAATTTGAAACAAAATACCTCAAATTCTAATTAGAGTTTCATATTTTTATGATGCTATTTAAATGCCATGTTACTCTCAACTAGATGTGAGGGTTCTTGCTTTCATAATTACATCTTTCACCAGATTTCTGATTTTCATAGGTGAATGTTGGTCCCAAGGTCCCAAGATCCCAAGATCCCAGATAGTTGGGACCAACACTTGGTAACGACCACTTTTAAATGTTTCATCAATACTTGACAATAGCATTTGTACTTATAATTTGCAGGTCCCGCCAGTATTATCTTCTTTCATTCTAAAGCAGGATCAAGATCGAGTTGGATCTGCTGGCATGAAGTCCCTTAGGGCAATAGCACTCATTGGAGCTGGTGCTTCTGGGCTTCTGAGTTTTGCAACAATAGCATCTTCTGATGAGGCAGAGCATGGCTTAGAATGTCCAAGCTACCCCTGGCCCCACAAAGGCATTCTAAGTTCATATGATCATGCATCGTGAGTGTATGATTGTTTTCTCTGAATTGTTATATTTATGTCAAATAGTAGTTCCTTAGAACCTAATGCATTCTAACTATGTGTGGGCAGGATTCGCCGTGGTCATCAGGTTTACCAACAAGTTTGTGCATCCTGCCATTCAATGTCTCTAGTTTCATACCGTGATCTTGTTGGAGTGGCATATACTGAAGAGGAGACAAAGGCTATGGCTGCAGAGATTGAGGTGGTTGATGGGCCTAATGATGAGGGTGAGCTGTTCACCCGCCCTGGTAAGCTGAGTGATCGTTTTCCTCAGCCATATGCAAATGAACAAGCAGCAAGGTTTGCTAATGGAGGGGCGTATCCTCCAGACCTAAGCCTTATAACCAAGGTAATTTCAGTCAGCTGATTTTGATATCCTTAGATAAAAGCTTATACTTATTTTGAAAGTTTCCAATTTTTGCCATTTCAGGCTCGGCACAATGGTCAGAACTATGTATTTGCTCTTCTAACTGGTTATCGTGACCCTCCCGCTGGTATTTCGGTAATTTTCTAAGTCCTGATTGCATATATTCAATGTTTTGAAAATCATAATTGTATCGTAAATCGTAGAAGTTGAATCGAATCAAATCGTGATTCGTATCGTAAATCATATGATTATTTCTATTTTTTACAAACTTGTCAAAAAATTATAATATAGATTTATTAAAAGGAAAAATATATATAGGAAATTGACTTTACCCTATTTTAATCTATATCTACCATATATTACCTAAAATAATAGTGTTTACCATTTATATACAATAAAAGTCTAAGATGATATAATCAAGTTTGACTTGAAAGTCAAACAAATCCACATACAATGGCTCTTTAACCTCCATATGACAACAAACTCAATTTATAGCCTTAAATAATGTAAATAAATGATTTTCTAGTAAGGGCTTTATGAAAAGTCTCCCTTGGCAAAATTAAATATTAACAAAAAGCATAACAAAGTAGAGAAGTAATTCTTACTTGAATTTATTTGAATCGTATAAATCATAAGATTTATGAATGAAATCATAGGATTCAAACAAAAATTGTAAGGTTTATGCAACAAAGGATTCAGGCGTAAGATTTAAATCGAAAACCCTTGGATTAATGATTCAAATCGTGAACCGTATTGTAAATCATAAGATTTTGACAACATTGCATATATTTTCCAGAAAGTGCTTCCCTGATTCCAGAAAATATTGAATTAAAATATTGTAATAGTTTCCCTGATTCCAGAAAATATAGATCTTTATGCTAGAAGGCAGGTATATTGCCGAGACTTGAAAATTTTGTTTTAATTTCATGTTCATGCCTAATGATAAAAGAGTAATCAATGGTACTAGATTTTGGAACTATTTCGCATGCTTGGCTTTCTTTTTTTTTTTCTGCATGTGTGCATTGCAGAAGTTCTTCTAAATTTTTGGCACGTGTGAAAAGAATTCTTAATAATGAGAAAGGGGAATGACCAAATAATGTATATATAGAATGTATTAACACACATATTAGTAACAAATAGCAATAAGGGCACCTTGTGTAGGTGATGCCTTGACAACTATGGCTTGAATGCAAAGAAAATCTGCCACGTCTAAAGTATATACTGATAGTTTGGGGTCATCTTCTGTATTGTATAAATATATATTTAATATTGTTATACCAATACCATTTTCAGCATTATTAGTTGTTTATTAAAGCTGCTTTGAATAAATTAGTAGGTTGTTGGGTTACAGTGGGTTTGGGTAGGTCACCACTCATTTAAGCTCTATGCAGATAGGTTGTAAATGACTTGATGGTTTAAATGGGTATGTTGTAGTCAACCCACATTCAACCCATCCATATCCATTTAGTTGCCACCCCACCATGTACACCCGAGTAAGACTCCTTCCAGTCCTACATTGCGAAGGGAGGTTATCTACTTGATCAGTTGGGTCTCCTGGATGTGATGATGATGATGATTTTTTTACTAGTTGAACCAACTTGTCTTACCCTCATCTTTGCTTCTTGCCGGCTGGAACAAATTGCTTTGTTATGTTTATAATGAAGCTAAATGGGTTTCAAATTGGGCTTTTAGATTAGAGAAGGGCTGCACTACAATCCCTACTTTCCTGGTGGAGCAATAGCTATGCCCAAAATGCTTATTGATGGAGCTGTGGAGTATGAAGATGGTACTCCTGCAACAGAATCTCAGGTAATTTATCCTAATTCACTCATCATATATTTGGAATAAGAAAATATGTTAAAAATTACTTTGTTTTACAAGTTTTAAAAGCTCTGATTCTTATTTACAAACTTTGTGCAGATGGGAAAAGATGTTGTGACATTTTTGTCATGGGCAGCGGAACCAGAAATGGAAGAGAGGAAACTGGTAAGTGGATCCGTCTATGACAATTGACACCGTTCACCGCATCATATCTTAAACGAGTTATTTCTCACTTTATGAGTTTGCAAATGCAGATGGGATTCAAATGGATATTTGTATTGTCACTTGCACTTCTCCAAGCTGCCTATTACCGGCGCTTGAGGTGGTCCGTCTGGAAGTCACGCAAATTGATCGTTGATGTTGTGAATTGATCCTCCTCCATCCTTTCTTGTACTGGGTAGCAAGTGTCAACTAACAACACTTGTTCTCATGCTGTTTGAATTTCGGAGGACATGAACTGTCAATAATGTGTGTTGAGGATCTAATTTTGCTCTACTTTAGTCCCCATTTTAGCTATTCATTGAGAGAAATAAGCCCTACTTCATACTTTAGTTGTTACATTATTTTTCATTTTCCCTCCAATTTATGAATTTTGGTTAAATTTTGTGCTACCTCTCATATTCGTTTTTACTTCCAAGGATGCTAGTTGCAAGCAGAGTTTACAGGTATACTCTCACTGTCGCTTTTAAATGTCTTGAATGTAAAGGGCGGTTTGTGTTTTCAGAGTGGTCGCTAATTAATTAATTATACCCGCTAGCGAGATCCAGGCATCCAGCACCTTGGCGTTATTAAGGCGGAAGTCTGCTTAGCAATGTTTTTAAAACCGACCCGTAGGTCGACCCGGTTTCCCACCGAGTCTTGGGTTACCGGTTTGACCGAGCGGGTTGAATGGCTTATTCTGGTGATGGCATAATATATATATATACCCCAAACTCGGCGGTCTGGTGTCGCCCAAATAAAGAACAACCGATAACATCGCCCAAACGTGAGGAATGACGATGGCATTTAGCTAGGTGCCACCGGCAACTGGAGATCAGTTTCGTCCTCTTCGTGAGTTCGTTTTCTCCTGTTTTAAATCTTGCAATAACCCTAGATCTAGAACAAATAAAGTGAGAGAAAATGTAAAAAGAGAAAAGGGGTTTAAGTTGGGACTTTTGGGGGATTTTACAATTTTTTAAACTTAAAAAATGTAAAAAGAGAAGGGGGTTGACAGTTGAACTATTGCCCGCTTACTGGGTTATTGGTTCAACGGTCCAGATTGACCGGTTTGCTAACTTGTCAACAGTTTTTACGAAAATACCGGGTTTTATGAGAACCGGACTAAAAAATCAACCGAGTGATAGTTTCAAACGGTTTGATTATTTGGGTCAACAACGGGTTAAAAACGTTGGTGCTTAAGGTGGATCCGAACTTCCAAAAAGCAACTTATTCCTTCCATTTGAGCTCGTTTTAATGAAGATCTTGATTTGACTTAGACTAAATGGAGTTTGAGCCTAATATATAGGTTTGATAATTGGCCCAAATTCAGATATTAGGAAGCGGCTCATGAAGCCTGTTTTGAGTTGCATAATAAGAAATGAAGCATGCATGCATGCATTGTATGATTGTAATTCTTAGAAAATCAATATAATTCGTTTCAATATAATATTCTTTTGAAGTTGAGCATTACCTCAGTTCTACACCTACATAAATTGAATTGTCATTATTTAATATTTTTTATTGAAATATCAATTAAGAAGAGAAAATTTAAAGTCAAGACTCAAAATCTATGTAACTAATGTAAGCAATTGGTGTACGATGCAGTGATGGATTTATCGTTTTTCAAGTTAAAAACAAGGGTTTAATATTTTTATTTGTATAAATTATTTGGTTTTGGAGCCAGTTAGCCACACGCATTTTGCATTCTTCTAAGGATGTTTCTAAACTATTCATAGATAATTTTGAAACAGAAAATACCATAAATTTCTCCTCTACATCAAAATATCGTTGTTCATGATTATAATATTTAGGATAAATTTTTTAAACTAATTGATCAAGTGTATCTCTACTAGTTTACTATTGTCTAACATTATCCCTAATTCTATCTTTATCGTTAACATCCATTAATATTTCACCAAAACCTGTATACACGTGACACCACATTTAAAATTTTTTAAAACCCAATATAACTCTCGTCCCCTTCCTCCTTTGACCTCTTTTTCTAAACTATTCATAGATAATATTTCACCAAAGCTCTGAACTCTTGTCTCCGAACTCCATACCTACAACGACAGGACCTTAGTGTCGCATCTGAAAACCACGCATCTGGCCTATTTATGTAGGAATCAAAATAGCGCACTTTTTTCTCTAGTATTATTTTACAGAGACAAAACAAACTCCTCGTCGTTTAGATGGTGCAGCTTTTGGATGTATTTTCATATTTGAGTCGGTTTCCCTTGTAAGGGCAATAGGTGGTTCCTTTCTGTGCTCCTCAGCTTTGGAAGCGGAAGTTGTGGCTCTAATAGCACGTTTAGTAGAAGTAGTGGCTTATGATTTCTCAAGGTTTTGGGCAGGTGGAATCGGATTCGAGAGTTTTGATTTCTATGACCAAGACTCCTCCATTTAGAGAAAAAAAGGTGTTGTAAAAATAATAAAGAGACAAAAGGGAACTTATCGGTAATTGCTTTTCAAACCGAAGTTGCAGTGATGTGATGTTGTAGAATCTCAAAACCGTGAATTGCAGGGAGAAGGAAGGCTGAGTCGTGCCACTTGGTCACTCTCCTTAAAACCGCATTTTCTCCCTACGGTGCAGCCGAGTGATCGCAAATCAGTCACCAAGATAAAATAGCCCACAGGCTTCTGGTAGGCTGCACTCGCTTACCAGACCTCCGTGAACCATAGAAGATTGATGCTCAGATTTCACAAAGAAGACAAAGAAGAATGTCAAAAAATGGTGTGTATTGACTGGGTCAACCAACACTCTTCTTATAGAGTGCTCTCAGATCCGAATGGACACAGATGTGTCCTTTCAGACAAGAGCCTCTTCAAAACAGTGCGCTTGTTCGAAGAGGCACAAGGAGGAAGAAGAGACACGAACAGGAGAAAACGTTTTGATTTAAAAATTAAATTCAAAATGAAGAGACAAATTAAAATTGAAAAAGCTTAATTCGGTTAAAACAAAAAAAAACATTCAGTGCATCGTGTAGACCCGCACCTGTGCCCACGCCCACGCCCGACCCGCACGTGTGAAAAGCACCCCCAACCCCCCTCACATGCATGGAATATCTATAGTGCTCTCTTCCTATGGGTCTCTACCCATAGAGAGAGCAAAGCTACAAATATACTCAACTTCCACTCCTTTCCCAAGCAATGTGGGACAATGATTCTTCCCATGCACTTAAGGGTGGGAAGATGAAAAGACAAAAACAAGAGGGAGGAGAGAAATTTTTGAAAATTTGAATCTCCCTCCAACAATCCCTCACAAGATTCAAAATTACAAGAAGATCGAATAATCTGAGCATCGCAGTGAGAAAATTATTCATGGTGATGTCTTTTGAACTTCAATCAACACTTAGATATGACAGTCTATGTTATAGAGTACGGGTGGAGTCAGACTCTTTTAACCTTTCATCTTTGTCGTAACTAGCTAATTGGCCAATCAACTCAACTCACCAGTTTTTTAGTGGTTCTTTTGTTTTGGAACATTTCGGCCTTGTTTTCCTCTTTGAATCATGAGTGTTTTAGAGAGTCATCCCTATATCTTTCTTAGAAGCGGCCACACTTCACACTATTAGCTAACTGATTAAGAGCCTCATGCTCAACCTCCTCAAACTGTAGTGAGTACTATCTTACCTCATCATTTGAAACGGGACACTAACTGATAGTGCTTTCCCAAGTCATCTAGTGACTCGTTTTTACCCAATCAATCTAATTCCAGGGATCTCCTTTCACATAGTTGGGTGTCCACCACTAATGACTTTGTAACGGGCTTCAGCCCCATTCCTATCGATGCCTCATAAACCACCTTAGAAGTTTGTGGTTTGGTTAACGAATCTGCAAGGTTCTTTTCAGACCTTACAAAATCCAGAGCGGTTGTACCATTGTTGAGGTATTGCCTTACCAGGTTATGCCTTAAGCGGATGTGCCTTCTTTTACCGTTGTATGTCTGGTTCTTGGCTCTAGCTATTGCTGCTTGGCTATCACAATGGAAAGATATGGACGGAACCAGTCGCGACCAAAGTGGTATATTTTCCAACAAGTTCCTTAGCCACTCTGCCTCAGACCCCACTAATTCTAGTGTAATGAGCTCGGCCTCCATTGTTGAAATTGTATTGCATGACTGCTTACCGATTTCTACGATACTGCTATTCCATTTAGAGTAAACACATATCCACTGGTGGAAGTACTATCCTTTGAATCTGAAATCCAATTCGCATCAGTAAAGCACTCTAAAATAGGAGGAAAACTTGAGTAGTGTAAACCAACATTTATGGTTTCTTTTAAATATTTTAATAATCTTACTAGAGCTTCCCAATGTTTATTTTTGGGATTATGAGTATGCTGACTTAATTTTCCCCTAGCTATAGTTATGTCTGATCTTGTACAGTTTATTAAGTAAGATACAAATCCAATTATACTTGTGTACTCCTTTTGTGAAACAGGTTCTCCCACATGTTTCCTTAAGTGAATACTATAGTCAAGAGGTGTTTTAATTAGTTTACAATCATAGTGTCCAAATTTCCTAAGGATACTTTACATAATGTGATTGGGAGAAAATAATGTTTCCTTTTTGTTTATGGATTTTATCCCCAAGATTACATCAGCCTCACCCAAGTCCTTGGTATCAAATTTGGACATTAGGAATTATTTTGTTTCTTTTACTACCTCTAGACTAGTTTCCATTATTAGCATATAATCGACATATAGACAGATCATGACTCCTGTATTATTTTTAAAATTGCTATGCACACATCTATTAGAATCATTTATACTATATCCATTAGTTACTAACACATTATTAAATTTTTTATGCCATTGTTTGAGAATTTGTTTTAAGCCATACAGAGACTTAATTAATTTACATACTTTATTTTCTTGTCCTGACATTATAAAGCCTTCAGGTTGCTTAATGTATATTTCTTCCTCTAATTCCCCATTTAAGAAAGTTGTTTTCACATCCATTTGAAGTACTACTAGTTTGTAAATGGATGCTATAGCAAACAAAACTCTAATTGTTGTTAACCTTGCAACTGGGAAGTATGTGCAAAAGAAGTCTACATCTTTCTTTTGTCTGAACCCTTTAGCAACTAATTTGGCATTGAATTTATCTATTGTACGAACTAGTTTTAGTTTTTTCTTAAAAATCCACTTACAATCTAGTGCCTTAGTTCTAGGTGGGAGATCTACAAGTTCCCAAGTGTGATTAGAGACTAAAGAGTCTATTTCACTTTTTATGGTTTTTTTCCAAAATATTGCATCAGGTGAAGTTACAGCTTCCTGATAGATTACTAGGTCATTGTCTACCAGAAATGTGAATATTCTGTCACCTAAGTTTGTTTCTCTTCTTTATCTTTTACTTCTCCTTAAGTCTGGTTCTTGCCTAGGTGAAGTACTGACTCCTTGAGTACTCACTTTTTCTT